ATACCCAACCCTAAACTGGGGATAATTTACCTCATAGGGGTATATTGAGAAAATTAAATGAGTTATTCTAAGTAAAGCATTCAGAATAATATCTGACATATAATATGTGATCTATATATGTTGGTTACCATTATTAATATTTTGAAGTCAGGAAGTTTCTAAATAAAGATTGCTGTCATTCACATAATACCAACAAAATCAGAACAAAGTTTTAGGGCCTTGAATCAAATCACAATTGAGGAGCGAGGACTCTAAATATCACCTTCTCTACTTGCCACTTCTGTACTTGCCCTCTACCTACCATCTAAAAAGTAAAAACCGTTCTCTAGTTGCATATCTGCTAGGATAACAAAGCATTACTATGGCATAGTTTATTTTTGTGCTATAATTAAAATTGCTAAAAAAAAAAAAAAAAAATGCAGTATGTGGTCTCACCTTACACCTGAACCGTAATTTCCAAACAACTGGGGGCTAACTTCTCTTGAATGCAATGCTAGAGAAAACACATTCCTGGCCTTGCTTCTGTATGTGCTCCTTTTACTTTACATTGGACATTCATCTTTGTGCTTTCAAATGTGGTTGAGAACCTCCTTAATAAGAATTCTTTCTATTAGATGATTTAGTCTGGTTTTCACATCAACTTTTCCCTGTTACAAATAATATGTTATAAGTAAGATAAAATTCACTATATCTTGGTCTTCAGTAGACAAGAACATTGGGAAGGGGAGAATGAATGGAAGAAATAATTATATAATTTTTGAAGGACTTGAGAAACAATGAAGATTGAGAATAGGAACTTTCTTATTTGAGACAAGATCTTTACAGGTATTTCAAAGCTAAAGGCTCTTTAATGGAAAAGATGATAGAAAGATTTGAAGATATTAAAATATACTATCCACAAAAATCATCCATGATCCCATCACCCTACTAGAATACTTTCATTTTAGGGAAGGAGAGCATGGGAGAAAGATTATTTCTAGATAGGGAAGAGGGGTGGGAGGGAAAAGGAGGGGGAAGGGGAATAGCAAGGATGATGGAAGGTGATGGTCATCATTATACAAAATACATGTATGAAGATGTGAATGTCAACATACCTTATATACAAACAGAGATATGATAAACTGTGGTATAAAGGTGTATTAAGAATGGTAATACAAAAAAAAAGAGTTCATGTATAATGGCATAATTTGGTGTGAACATACTTTATATAGAGTCACAAAAAATCGTGCTGTGAATGGATAATTATGAATGTAATGCATTCCACTATTGTCATGTATGTGAAAATAAAAAATAAATAAAAATACTATTCATATCTGAATACCTATAAAATTACTGTCTCCAAGAAATTGTGAAGAACAATAAGCACTCTGGTTTCCACACAAGATTGATATGACAGCAGAGAAAGCTGTGAAATGGTACATATAATTATTTTCTTTTCAAGGAAGCTTAACACTGGTTTCTCTCTTTCTGGGATGTATTTGTAGACACTAAGCAGACACAGAGAAGTCTCAACTGCCCTTAAGTGGTTGTAAATGTTTTTCTGTTAGGTACTATGTTTCTACTTAGAATTCCAGTAAGAAAATTTGCTTCAAAAAATGGTAGCAAGGTATTAATTTCAATTTAATTTTATTATCTATCTTAAAGATTTTTTGTAATTCATTTAAAGGCCCTACAAACTGGTAGGTTGATTAAAAAACTATGACTTCTTCATGAGACCCTGATGAACTTTGATTTTTAAAGGATATTCATAAAGAAAAGGTAGAGATACATAGGAATGCATATAAAAGAGTATATGTTCTTTTGTATAAAAGAGAAATTTATAAGAAAAATATTTATAAGAAAAATAATAATTTATGAGAAAAATATCAGAAAGTTCAGAGTACTATTTATGCTAAAACAAAAACTATAAAAAATTCACACAACCAATAATATTTAAAACACTCATGGCACAGAAGGACCAATGGTACCCTATTGATGGATGAAAAAGAAAAAGTGGAGGACATAAACTTCTGTCTTATCAGGTTTATGGACTATAATAAAGGAAACCAAGTTGCAAGAGGTTGAAAGGTACAAGGATGTTTATAATTTAAAGTTGAGAAAACCTACAAATACTTCCACAGTGCTATTAGTGTTCTTCTGAGACAGAATAAAGAGAAAATATAGCATATTTAAAGTGTTAGCATCAAACACTTGCGTAGAAGAGAGTAAAAGAGAGGTTACTACAGACTAAGAAGAGCAGGGGACAAGGGTAAATAGAGTGCCACAATACAGTCAGACAGAAAAAAATCAGTTCTGTGTTTTAATAGCACAACAGGGTAAACGTAAACTACAATAATTTAGGAAATATTTTAAAATAACTAGAGGATTCTGAAAGTCCTCAACACATAGAAATGATATATGTTTGAGAAGATGGAAATAACCATGACTTGAACATTACACACTATATACATGTACTGAATCATCATCCCATAGATATTAAAAATATTGTCAATTAATAATTAAAAACAAAAAAGAAAAGTAAATGTCAGCCTAACTTTAAAAAAATGATGATTTTACAAATCTACATACCTAGTAGGATATTGTCAGTAAATCTTGGTTTAAAAAAGTTTAGAAAATTTCACAAAAGTTCATCTTCAGGACCAAAATTTAAGGGAGATTCAAACAAACAGATGCATCTAAGTAGCACTAGGGATTAAAACCAATCTAATAAAAAAATTTGCAGGAGGAACTAAGGATATTTAGCAGGAAGAAGGACAAAATCTATGGGCATGTGAGGAGCGGAAGAATCATAGCTATATTCAAATATTGGAAGGGCTGATATATGTAAGTAGATTGGGTTTATTCAGTTTGAACAAAGAGGTAAAGTAGGACAGATGGGTGAAGGTAACAGGGAAGGGATTTTGATTTTTGACTGATAATATAAGAAAATATCAGTCACTAAGTAAGGATGTTAAGTCTCCTTCATAGCATAGTTGTCTTGGGAAACAAGGTCTGCTACAAATGGATTCAGAGAACTGAATGCTGTGTAGAAGCTTTCTTTTCTTTCTCACTTCCCCTACTACTTTATTCCAGAGAAAGGAAGTGTCTTAAATAAAGAATGCTTTGTTCACTTAATTTTTCTCATCATTTTATGTCACATTTCTTTTCTTTTTTCCTGGTACTGGGGATTGCTTTATGGCTAAGCTACATCCTTTTTTTTTTTTGCACTTTGAGACAAGGTCTAAGTTACCCATGCTGGCCTTGAACTTGTGATCTTTCTGCCTTAGTCAATATAGTCATTGAGATTACAGATATGCACCACCACTCCTGGCCTTGTGTTAATTTTTCTATTGCATCAACTTCTCTATTATTAATTTGTTTGAACATTTTTGATGCTTATGCTAATCTTCTGGTTATGTTATTGAAAAAGTATAGAAAAATAATATGGAAAAATAAATTTTGTTGCATTCAGTATTGGCAACTACTTTTGATTTGCTGTCATTAGTTAGATGTAGGGTAACTAAAATCACTACATGAGTGCTGTTAGTACCTAAGCCTTACACTTCATACAAAAATAAAATAAAAATAGATCATAGATTTTGACGTAAACATAAAACTACAAAATCTTTAGATGATATCTAGAAGGAGAATACCAGTACCTAGAGCTTGGTGAAGAATACTTTAGATTTGATGCAAAAGCATGATACATACAGGATAAAAGTGATAAACTGGATTAAAAGTTCTACTGTGAAAGGCTCTATTGAAAGGATGAAAAGACAAACCATGGATTAGGAGGAAATTTTTGAAAACTGCAAGGACTTGTATCTAAATCTAAATCTATACAGAATTCTCAACACTGAACAATAAAAGCCAAAAACTCCAATTAGGAAATGGGCGTATGATATGAAAAGACATTACACTAAAGAGGTTAAAGAGGTGGTAAATAAGCAAAAGAAAAAGTGTTCAACATAATTAGCTATTAGGAAAATATAAATTAATATAGACATATGAATAGCTAAATAAAAAACAGTGATAATACCAAGTGCTGGTGAGGATGTGGAAAAGCTGGGTCTCTCACACATTGTTGGTGGAAGGTAAAATGGTACAGCCACTCTGGAAAATAGTTTGATAGTTTCTTAAAATACACACACCCTTACCATATGACTGAGAAGTTGCACTCTTAAGCATTTACCCTTGAGGAATGAAGACCTATTTAGTCGTAAACCTGTAGAGGACTATCCATGGCAGCCTTTTAACTGCCAAAAACATGGTAAAAACTCGATAGTCCCTCATTGAATGTCTAAATACCTGCAGTATATCTACACCACAGTATACCATTAATTAATAACAATCAACTGCTGATACAAAGAACAGTTTGAATAATACAAGGCTATTATGTTCAGTGAACAAAACCAATCTCAAAGTATAGATACTTTATAATTTCATTTTTACAGTATTTTCAAAATTATGGAATTATAGATGGAAGATAGATTAGGGATTATCAGGAATATGTGATGGTGAGTGGGATGAAGTGGGTATAATTATAAAACGGTAGCTTGACAAATACCTTTGTGGTGATGGAATAAGTGCTACACACCCTGATTCTGTGATGGTTATGCAATTATACACATGATAATGTCACATAAAGACATATACACATTGTATCAATTCCTATCAAATTCTTGGGTCTTGAAGCTGTATATTGTTATGTGTTATGTAACATGGAAACTGGGTGAAAGGTACATGAGATCTCTTTGCAACTTACCATGAATCTACAATTTCAAGATACAAAGTAAAAAATAAGAAGATATTCATCACAGTTTCACTTAAGAAACATGATGAAAGCATTTTGTGCCATAATTCTACTTATTTCTGAAGCTGAGGGATAAATAAGTCACTACAGTAGGAAGAAGGGGAACTCAACATAGGAACTAGGGATATGGAAAAGGTATTAAATTGACTAGGTGGAAGAAATAACTAAAAAGATTTTTAAAACAGATAAACTTAAAAAAAATAATTACCTTAACATGAAATTCACTGTCCAACAAGATATTTTGAGTCTTCAAGTCATGATGAAGTAGAGGAGGATTCATATTATGCAGGTAATTTACACCAAGTGCGATTTCATGCAGGATGCGGAATCTTAATGGCCAAGGAACATCAGGATATTCAATTTTCTTTATATATATATGAAAAGGAAAAAAAAAAGAAAATTAGCATCCAAACTTCTCTCCATTTCACACTTAGGAAATTAAATCCACGAGAAAAAAATACTGTGAACTAAGGTCAAGACATATGCTCATTTTCATATGATAGCATCAATTTGATATTGTTTAATGTTCTTACTTTCCTTACTTTTTAGAGAAAATAATAATCTTATAGCATTTATATTACCTTAATTTATATGCAGTCACATAGTATTGGTTTTTTTGTTTTTCAAGTAACATGGCTCTCAATTATTTTCTACCACTTATAGCCAGATTCATATTCCTGCACCTATATCCACTATCCCATTCTGATTTAGTAACTTGTGCACTGGCAAGCACACACACAGAAAATTACACTTGATTTGTTTCTGATATATACCAATTCGTTCAAAATTTACATTTTTGAGAACTATATTGAATAGAAGTGGTGAGAGAGGGCATCCCTGTCTTGTTCCAGATTTTAGCGGGAATGCCTTCAATTTTTCTCCATTCAGAATGATGCTAGCCTGAGGCTTAGCATAGATAGCTTTTACAATGTTGAGGTAAGTTCCTGTTATCCCTAGTTTTTCTAATGTTTTGAACATAAAGGGATGCTGTACTTTGTCGAATGCTTTTTCTGCATCTATTGAGATGATCATATGGTTCTTATCTTTAAGTCTATTGATGTGGTGAATAACATTTATTGATTTCCGTATATTGAACCATCCTTGCATCCCAGGGATGAATCCTACTTGATCATGGTGCACAATTTTTTTGATGTGCCTTTGTATCCGATTCGCCAGAATTTTATTGAGGATTTGTGCATCTAGGTTCATCAGAGATATTGGTCTGTAGTTTTCTTTCTTTGAGGCGTCTTTGTCTGGTTTCGGAATCAGGGTGATGTTGGCCTCATAGAATGAATTTGGCAGAGCTCCCTCTTTTTCTATTTCCTGAAATAACTTGAAAAGTATTGGTATTAATTCTTCTTTAAAGGTTTTGTAAAACTCCGCTGTATACCCATCCGGTCCTGGGTTTTTCTTGGTTGGTAGTCTTTTGATTGCTTCTTCTATTTCATCCATTGATATTGGTCTGTTTAAGTTGTGAGTATCCTCCTGACTCAGTCTGGGCAAATCACACTTCTATTCAATATAGTTCTCGAAACACTGGCCAGAGCAATTAGATAGACGAAAGAAATTAAAGGTATAAAAGTAGGAAAAGAAGAACTTAAATTATCACTATTTGCGGACAACAGGATTCTATACCTAGAAGACCCAAAAGGGTCTACAAAAAAACTACTAGAACTAATAAATGAATTCAGCAAAGTGGCAGGATATAAAATCAACACGCATAAATCAAAGGCATTTCTGTATATCAGCAACAAAACTTCTGAAACGGAAACGAGGAAAAACACTCCATTCACAATATCCTCAAAAAAAATAAAATACTTGGGAATCAACCTAACAAAAGAGGTGAAAGATTTATACAATGAAAACTACAGAACCCTAAAAAGAGAAGTAGAAAAAGATCTTAGAAGATGGAAAAATATAACCTGTTCATGGATAGGCAGAACTAACATCATCAAAATGGCGATATTACCAAAAGTTCTCTATAGGTTTAATGCAATGCCAATCAAAATCCCAACGGCATTTCTTGTAGAAATAGAGAAAGCAATCATGAAATTCATATGGAAAAATAAAAGACCCAGAATAGCAAAAGCAATTCTAAGCAGGAAGTGTGAATCAGGCGGTATAGTGATACCAGATTTCAAACTATATTACAGAGCAATAGTAACAAAAACAGCATGGTACTGGTACCAAAACAGGCGGGTGGGCCAATGGTACAGAATAGAGGACACAGAGACTTATCCACAAAGCTACAACTATCTTATATTTGATAAAGGAGCTAAAAGCATGCAATGGAGGAAGGATAGCATCTTCAACAAATGGTGTTGGGAAAACTGGAAATCCATATGCAACAAAATGAAACTGAATCCCCTCCTCTCGCCATGCACAAAAGATAACTCAAAGTGGATCAAGGAGCTAGATATCAAATCAGAGACTCTGCGTCTGATAGAAGAAAAAGCTGGCTCCGATCTACATATTGTGGGGTCAGGCTCCAAATTCCTTAATAGGACACCCATAGCACAAGAGTTAATAACAAGAATCAACAAATGGGACTTACTTAAACTGAAAAGTTTTTTCTCAGCAAGAGAAACAATAAGAGAGGTAAATAGGGAGCCTACATCATGGGAACAAATTTTTACTCCTCACACTTCAGACAGAGCCCTAATATCCAGAGTATACAAAGAACTCAAAAAATTAGACAATAAGATAACAAATAACCCAATCAACAAATGGGCCAAGGACCTGAACAGACACTTCTCAGAGGAGGACATACAATCAATCAACAAGTACATGAAAAAATGCTCACCATCTCTAGCAGTCAGAGAAATGCAAATCAAAACCACCCTAAGATACCATCTCACTCCAGTAAGATTGGCAGCCATTATGAAGTCAAACAACAAGTGCTGGAGAGGATGTGGGGAAAAGGGTACTCTTGTACATTGCTGGTGGGACTGCAAACTGGTGCGGCCAATTTGGAAAGCAGTATGGAGATTCTTGGGAAAGCTGGGAATGGAACCCCCATTTGACCCAGCTATTCCTCTTCTTGGACTATTCCCTAAAGACCTTAAAAGAGCGTACTACAGGGATACTGCCACATCGATGTTCATAGCAGCACAATTCACAATTGCTATACTGTGGAACCAACCCAGATGCCCTTCAATAGATGAATGGATAAAAAAAATGTGGCATTTATACACAATGGAGTATTACACAGCACTAAAAAATGACAAAATCATGGAATTTGCAGGGAAATGGATGGCACTAGAGCAGATTATGCTTAGTGAAGCTAGCCAATCCCTAAAAAACAAATACCAAATGTCTTCTTTGATATAATGAGAGCAACTAAGAATAGAGCAGGGAGGAAGAGCAGGAAGAGAAGATTAACATTAAACAGAGACATGAGGTGGGAGGGAAAGGGAGAGAAAAGGGAAATTGCATGGTAATGGAGGGAGACCCTCATTGTTATACAAAATTACATATAAGAGGTTGTGAGGGGAATGGGAAAATAAACAAGGAGAGAAATGAATTATAGTAGATGGGGTAGAGAGAGAAGATGGGAGGGGAGGGGAGGGGGGATAGTAGAGGATAGGAAAGGTAGCAGAATACAACAGTTACTAATAGGGCATTATGTAAAAATGTGGATGTGTAACCGATGTGATTCTGCAATCTGTATTTGGGGTAAAATTGGGAGTTCATAACCAACTTGAATCTAATGTATGAAATATGATATGTCAAGAGTTTTGTAATGTTTTGAACAACCAATAAAAAAAATTACATTTTAATTTTCTACTAGTATAAAACCACACTTCATCATAATAATCTTTGCATCAATTAAAAATTATGACCATGTTATATTTTTTGCATATTAAGCATTAATATCTCATACTTTATATCATAATTTATATTCCCTCTTGAAAAATTAACCTTTGAGAGTTTTCTTTTTGTGAAGGAGACAAAGATCATTTTTGTTTCTAAACCTATGTAAAGACACATTTGGAATTTGTTTTATATTTCCTGATATTTATAACTGCGATATCTATATGAGCTTCCTTAAAATAAGTATTTTCTGAACATACCTGTCTGTCATAAAGTTTCTGAGAAGAATGAACATACTCAGAAAAATCAAATAATTCGGGAAGATTGACAATGAATCATCAGGCACACACTGCTTGGTACACTTTTTCCAAGTGCTATGAAAAAATCTGCTGCTACTGAAAGTTCAAAACTGTTCTTGAGAATTCTTTCTTCGGACCTTTTGTGATCATTAGTTACAATTTAGAAAACTAAAAGACATCTAAAACACTACTTTCTCTGGGATACACATGGCCCTATCCCTTGGAGTAAATGACTTTTAATCTGTAAAAAGGGAAATTTTTCTAAAAATTATGCAGTTTAAAGGAATAACCAGGCCTCCCAACAGCATAGTGTTTGCTGTATGAAGGCTTTTGGGCATGAACACAGGTGGAGGGCACTCATTCTAAATTTATACTCCCCGCCAGGAATTAGCAATACCCAGAATTTATAGGGGGCTCCAAATTTGGGTTCCAGAGTATCTCTAGGGAGTGCAGGAAGAAACCATTAGAATTTCTACTTATATTCATTTCTCAAGGAAAACAATTTTTGCTTTTTTAATATTTATATTTTGTTTCCTGAGGTGGTTATACAGACTGACAACAGTTACTTGACTTGTTTCAGATGTCACAAGTCATGAGCAAAATGCGATATATTCTGAAACAAAGAGGAGGCTACTCCATGAGTGGCTGATGGTGCTGTCCACTTTCCCTTGGTGGCTGACAGAACATGTGATATATCGTAATTAGATTTATCTAACCAGATTTTATAGATTATACAGTTTTAACTAAGCCAACTCTCACAAAATGGACCAAGTGGTTTACAAGATTTCTCAAGAGAAAATGCAGATGGGAGAAAATTGTAAGGTAAATTCAAGCAAACAATAATAATTGAATTTTGAGAATGAGGGCTCCCCAAACTGGCTTACTGACAAAACTGTAAGCCAGAAAAACTGAAATCTTGAGAAAAAATATAAATGCCTCAAACTGCTATCTCTTATTGGCAAACTTAGAGTATCTGGTACTCAAATAATTAATTTGGCCTGTTAATTCAGAACTTTATGGTAGGTATATGGTATTAGTAACACTTAATACTAACTCTAAATGTCATTAATATGAAAGGATGGCTTAACTGTGGATTATAGTATATGCAGAGCTTCTCTTTTCTCTTTCCTACTTGTGTGCATTCGCATATGGGAATATTGGAATTCATTATCAACATCAGAAACAGTAACCTAAACAAAATAATCAACATCTCATGGAATACAAGGCTTGACTCTACAGTATATCTTAACACCATGAAGCCACAAAAGTGGAACTTTATCACTGCCACTGTTTTTCAATATTCTTACTTTGATTCACTAATAGATACCCAAATAATCAAAATGAATGTAAAGCCAAAATATAATGTAGTTTGAAAAACAGAAATGGTAACTAATGAAAATGTATAATACTTACCCTATGTAGGAGTTCATTTAATGATCCATTTGGCATGTATTCAGTAACTATTCCCAAAAATTCTGGCTCATTGCAAATTCCCAATATAGGAAGAATGTAACTAAATCTTGCTTTGTGCAAAATTTCAGCTTCTCTTAAGACGTCATTTCTTTCACTAAGAAAAAAAAAAAGCATAAATATTTTGGGTAATGAAAAATATACAATTTTCATATCTATAAGATTAATTAACCCTGTATTTTTTCCTTAATTATGTGACCTCAAATAAACCCTGCAAATTTTCTGTCCCTTAGTTCCATTACATTTAAAACAGGTAATATCCACCCTATATATTCCACAGGTCTGCTTACAGACCAAAATGACTTTTAAAAAACCACTGTCAGGGGCAGGGTTGTGATAGAGCACCTGCTGAGCATGCATGAAGCACCACATAAAAATAAACAAAATAAAGGTATTGTGTCCATCCACAATTTAAAAAATATTAAACAAAACAAAACAATAAAACCACTGTCAGGTCAAAGTGCTATACCCAGGTTACTATTATTGTGTTTCCTAGGAAAGGGAAAGAATACAGTGTTTTAGGGAAGTTTATAAAGCCTATCTATGTTAGAATGATTAGTGCTTGAACTAATTATGTTTATTTTGTACCAAACAGATTCAATTAGAATATTACATTAAATGTTATGGTTGCATACAATGTACATTTTCCCAAATATTCTGAATTTTAAAACATTTAAATGTTGTAGATTTAAATGAGTAGATGATAATGGCTGCATAAAGGTCAATGATGCTTAGAAGTTAATATACAGGTAAAGAACACTGAGAGCAGGTAAATGCTCATAACACATCCTAAGTATAACTCTGGATACCAGGTTCATTTGCTTATTCATAAACAAAACAAATTAGTATTTTAGTATAAGAAATGTGCTCAGCATTACGAAGCATATAAAAATAAAAAAGATGTATTCTTTGCCTTCAAACTGCCTGAAAATCTTTTAAGAAAAATAAGTAAAAATGTCAGGCAGAATGTGATAAGAGCCACCAAAATACAAACAAAAATAAAAAAATATATATACATAGTAGAATATTTGTATTTAATTTTTAAAGTTAAGTAGAAAGGGAGAAAAGAAAATATAAACATATATAAATAGAAAGAAAAGGAAAAAATAAAAATTATGGGAGCTCCAAGGAAAGAATAATTTTGGTCTGGGGAAGTCACACTGTCTGCAGGGAAGTAGGATTTTGGCTGTACCTTAAGGATGGACAGAATTTCAAAACTGGAGACAGGGCAGTTAAGATGGATGAGGATGGACCATGCTTTTCTAGTTCACATGTGCACCCCTGGATGTGAAGAGTACCTTGGGCATAGTAACATAGATGTCCAGTAGATATGTGTCAACTGATTTCAAGGAGTAAAAATGAAGGTTATGTTTGGGAAACTGCAAACTGTTTAAAATGGATCAGGATATGCAACAGTGTATATAAAAGGAGTGAAGGCCAACAAGATAGGCTGGGGCTACCACTGAGTCCTAAAGGCAGGTTAGGTGGTTACTCTTTATTTGATAGTTGTGATTAAAGGTTTTGAGCAGGAGAATGACATCAGTAAAACAAAAGTTTAGGATGGTTAACTTGGCAGCAGGATACAGGATCAATAGAAAGAGGAAGAGTTTGAAAGTCAGGTGTTGGGAGATTTTAATACTGGTCAACTTGTGAATCAAGGGGAGCCCTACACTATATGGGTAGCCATGGAATTGCAAAGGAAAACACGAGCTGAACAGAATGCCTCAGCTGGGCTGTGGTGACTGATTATGGGGGATTAGAAAAATGGAAGGGAAATGAAGACGTCATCAGTTTTTAACCTGGACGAGTGGGTGTTGGTAACAATAACAGAAATAGAAATGCTTCCAGGAGAAGTCTATAAGTGGTGATGATTAGTTGGCTCTTAAAACACCCAAGCTCTGGATGAATGGTTGTTGAAAAAAGAATACCAACAGACATTCCTGACCAGACTCATAAAGCCTGTTTAAGAACCCATAAAAACCAAAACAAAGCAAAAATAAAAATCTTATTTTTTGAGTAGGTAATATACTTTGCATGTTTTAAAATTCAATAGTTGCAAGAAGACAAAGTGAAAAGCGTCTCTCCTCCTTCTTGTCCCTCAACCACCTCATACCTTAAGTGTGAGAAAACCAATTTTATCAGTGTATCTGTTTAATTAAACTCATACTCTTTAAGTTCAGAGTGTTCTGTATTTACCCTAAAGGACATGAGCCATTAAGACTGTTACTGGGTAGTACCTTTCCAGGGAGTCACAGGATGAACCTGATGATTCCTGGATACTAAGAACTACTGAGAGGAAATATTGTGGAAGTTCCAATGGTATCTAATACATTCTTTCCTCCTCTTGTGTGCTATCATCCTAAGATCAATCCTCTAAAGTTCACTTCATTATCTACACTTTATAAATAAGGGCACTGGGGATCAGAAAAAAGGAATAATTTTCTAATGATTATACCACTACAACCAGAAGGGCTGGAAATCAGATTAAAATACAATCATAGTATTCTAAAGTCAATGTTCTTCCAATTGCATTTCTTGATTAGAGAAGTAAGGACAGTTCATGAAGTCTAATTTTAGGAAGACTTTGAGAGTTGGAACATTTTTAAAAAGCCAAGATGTGAAAATTAAAAATGTAAAATATAGCTTTTTATAGGTGGCTCACTAAAATTTACCCAACTCAAAATTTCAATAGAAAAAACAGTTATGTTACCGATAGGGTACTTAAACAACCAATGGGATTTATCTCCTCAAAGGGGGGAAGATGTTGCAGAATTTCCACTCACTGGATAAAAGGTTATGAGGAATGATCACCAATCACTAAAATAACATGTAACATCTCATAAACTTATTTTTATTCCATGTGATTTCCCAAGAACAATGCAAACATTATCCACACTAGAGCCTAAGAAATATATGGACTGTATTATTCACATTTCTTTTATGTGAGGAAATAAGACACCCTACAAGTCAACTGCATAAGCTTAGTCCTATTCTCAGACTACATAAATACTGCTAAAAGATCTTAAGCAACAAGTGGGAGAAAAGAATGTGATATTGAAATGTTAGGGTTTTCCTGGTCTTATGGCTTCTTTTGAGGATAGAATTAATTTCTTACTCAATTTAGTGACAAATTTTATACTATGAAAGCTGTTAATGAGTATGGGAAGAAAACTCCCTTCTCACTCCTTGGCCCTCAAATGGCGCAAAACTTAGAAAAATTAAAATCTTGAAAAGCAGCATCCAAAATGGCAGGATCAATTGGCTTTAGAATACATAATTGTCCAGCAGTGCTGCATTTGTATATAGCTGGTTCTAAAATATGTCCACCACCATTTAAAGGTCTTTATAGTCTGCTCCACAGACTATAAAGATCCAGGATAAGTACGCATTACACCTGGTACATGGCTGAACTGGATTATAATACAAAAAAAGTGTAAACTATCTTTAGAGGTGTTCCAAATCTACAATGGAATCTAGCCCCCACAGGCAGATTAAAGTCTAGAATTTGGCAGGGGTAAAGCTGAGAGATTTATCTGATATTGATATTAACAGCCTTTGACCAAGCACTCATCTATCATGACATATTCTCACAATAGACACAAAAGAAGAGGATGTCACAGCAAAGGATGTTAATTCACCGAGAACTGAAAGTAAAGTTCTAGTCAAATTCCACAGTACTAGTGACTAGACCATGACTGAAACATCCAGTCACAGTTCCATGGTATGTGATTGTAATGGAAAGAGAAACTAATGCCAGTTTTTTCTTAAAATGTGAACACTGGGGCCTGGGTTTGTAGCTCAGTGGTAGAGGCTTGCCTAGCACCTATGAGGCACTGGGTTCAATCCTCAGCACCACCAAAAAATATAAATAAACAATATAAACAAAAATGTGTCCATCTACAACTAAAAAAAAAAATTAAAAATAATGTGAACACTGGGCTAAAATTGTTCCAGGGTATGAGAGATATTCACAATTTTTGACCATTTGATATTTTTCTAATTCAATTTATTGTTAGCAAAAATAATACACATTTCCTCTGTGGGCAGTGTTCCCCTGTGACAGTAAGAGAAACTGAACTTCTGTTAAAGAGTTTGACATTTGAACTTTCATGACCACATGTAATAAACCACAAACAAAACAAAAAACCAAACCCAAACATCTCTAGTGTAGCACTGTCCAGTGAAAATATACAATTTTAGATTTTCTAGTGGCCACATTAAAAAAAAAAGAAGCACGAGATGAGTTTTTAACATCTTACATTTAACCCCCCCCCCCAAATATTCCATTTCAGTATGTAATCAATATAAAACTATTGAGATATTATTATTATTGAGTTCGAAATCCGGTGTGTTGGGAGGATTAGATGAACTCTAGATAGGGCAAAGGAGATGAATGGGAAGGGAGTGGGCACGGGGTTGGAAAGACGGTGGAGGGAGGTGGATATCATTACCCTAAGTACAAGTATGAAGACATGAATGGCGTGACTCTGTGTACAACCAGAGATATGAAATATATATCATATATTCTGCTTTATATAATAACAAATTAAGACATAAATAAAATAAAACTAAAGTTAAAAAAAAATCAGGTGTGTCTTTCACATTTCTTGCCTATCTCCATTCGGAGGGTCACGTTCCAACAATTCAATAGCTCTTGTGTCTAGCTCCAGAGTGAACTGTGCAATCTTAAGAGTCCCATTAAAAAATATAAAACCAAAAGCAAACAAAGCCTACATCCAATACACAAACACATAAGCTTCAATAAACAGCTTTTCGAGTTGGGCTGTCATTGCTGATTTTTGGAGTAGGGAGAAAAGACGACTTGGAGAGTAGGAGGGAAGGCGAGAAAGGACGGCTGAGAGAAGAGTGCAGGAAAGCGACTGACTCATCTCCAGCAGTGCAGTTTCTCCCCACCTTCCATGACGACAGGCTTGGGGGTCTACCTACAAGTGACGAGGGGTGGGGCCAAACCCAAGGGTCTCTGCCGTTGGGATTCTGAAACCCGCTCGCCTGGGGGGGGGGGGGGTGCAGCAGCGCTTGGGGATCCGCCTGGAATCCGCGCTGGCGCCCTACCTGTCGAGCAGCGGGGTGTGGATGTGCAGGTGCTTCACAGCCACCTGGACGCGCCAGTCTGCGTGTCGGGCGGACGACACGGTGCCAGAGGCGCCGCGGCTCAAGTAGCACAGGTCGGCGAGCTTGCGGTAGGGAATGGTGGGCAGGGCGCTGCAGATGGCCTCTCCGTTCATGGTGGCGGCCGGCGGATTCCGGTGCGCCCGCTGCTCCTCGGCTCCGGACGCCGAGATCCCGGCCTGCCCGAGTGGCCGCGAGCTCCTTCCTGTGTGGGACGCTAGGTCGCCCGGCCGCCCATGCCCCTGGCTACCACCGCTTTCCCGGCCGATCAGACTCCCGCGGACCCTCGCGGGGGGAAACCCGGTCAACTACGCAGCGCCGCGTCGCGCCAAGGAGGAGCTTGCTTTCGCGGACCCGGCCCTCCCCGGCGCGCAGCCTGGCCGGCCAGCCGCGCTCCTCCCGCTCCAAACTTCCCAGGCGTGGTCAGCTGGCCGGGCGGGGCGGGGCTAGGCGCCGCCCACTCGCGGCTCTCGGGGCGGGTCTCGCCGAACCTGAGCCCGGGATCCTTCGCCGCCCCCACGGTCCGGGTGACTTCGAGGGGTTCGGCTGGTTTTCCGGGGGAGGTGGGGAGAGGGAGTTCGGGGCGCGCCTTTTGCTTGCTCTCCTCCACCCCCAGGTTTGGAAGAGTTTTCCTTTCGGGAAAGTCCCTCTCGGAGGCCTGCTGACCGGTGTCAGGCTAGTCAGCTGGCCTCCACACGTGGGAGGATTTTCCTCGGGGCTGCGTGCTTTCCTGTAGCCCTGGAATCCCAGGACGGCGGGTGGGGAGTGGGGTCCCCACCCCTGACCCTCTGCCTGCAGAGGAAGCGTTTGAGGCAAGTTTGGTGACTTCTAGGTTCTCCACACTCAATTCGCGTACTTACCTGGACTCCAGCCTTCCTCACTTCCTCCCACTTAAGGAGTGAGTTTGGAGGAGAATTCCACCTTGGTGGAACACGTTCAGATGTTAAGCTCCCGTGACGTGCGCCTCTACTAGGGAATGTTTTCCCACCTCTTAACTCACATAAGCATATGCAGAGATTGAAAAAATAACCTTGAGAGAATCTATCCCTCTGACTCTAGGTAAGACTGCCAAGATTTCTTACGGACTGGGAAGATGCAGTGATAAATGCCAAAAGAAAAAGACTGCAACCACCATTCCATTTAAACAAACACCTTTCTAATTAGATGCACTTTACAGGGTGTGTGGTGCAAATGCAGTTAGTTCTTGGCATCCCATACTTGTGGGGGCCTCGCTTGTAGGACACTAAAATTTGCAGATGCTTAAGTCCCTTGTATAAATGGTAGAGTATATATAACCTAGGCATATCTCCCCTATCCTTTTCTTTCTTTCTTTCTTTCCTTTTTATTTTTGTTGTACTGAGGATTAAACCCAGAACCTCGCACATGGTAAGCAAACACTCTTGTGCTGAGCTAGATCATGAACCCCTCCCCTATACTTTAAAGCCTCATGGTTTTTGCCTGTATACAATGTTAAATATATGTGTTCTTGGTTATATATGAAAATGAATTAAACTGTATACTTCCTACTAAGAATACATATTTATATAAATGGAAAAATTTTCTACATGGGGATATATAATGTATAACATATATTGTTTAGTTTCCATAATTAATTGGTTAAAGACAGAAAGCTTAAGGAATACTAATGCATTGATTAAACAAGAAACAAAAATAGAATAGCTATGCAAATTATTCTTAAAACCAAACAGCATATCTATATGTTGGATTCATTTGTTTGAAATTATATGAAATTACATCAAACTGGGCCAGTGGCATGTCCTAGTGACTGGAGAGACTGAGGCAGGAGGATTTCCAAGTCCAAAGCCAGCATCAGCAACTAGGCCAATCCCTAAGCAACTTAGGGAGACTCTGTCTCATAAAAAATAAAAAGGACTGCGAATGTGGCTCAGTGGTTAAGTGCCCCTGGGTTCAGTCCCCTGTGCTAAATAAATTGATAAAATTACATCAAAATTTGTGTTCCATTCACTTTTTAAAAATTTGTACCTGTTTGTGTAATTTTAAGAAGTAGCAATATTAAATATCTCATCTCTTCAATTAGAAACAAGAACAAAAAAATTGAAAAGCCACTTAAAAACACACAAATCCAAGAATTCCCAACATCTCATATTCATAAATGTTCTGTTTTTCAATCTAAAAGTACCTAGAAATTTTAAAAACACAAATGCCAGCAAGTCTGTATAATTGTATGATAATGAATGTTCTACATGAGAAAACTAATGCTTTGGAGTACATTTGGTATCTTTCTGCCCGCCCCCCAAACTAAAAATCAAACCTGCTATATATCTAATGATGTGGAGTTTCTTATGAGCAAAAAAATAACCATTTTTGCAGTTAGAGTACAATTATGTTTCACATTTAGCCATTTCATATTCAATCCTAAAATTGACATAGTGTCGTTTAAAAATGGTTTTTCTAAGATAATTAAGCTGCATTAAACAAAATGTTTCACATGTCAATTGGAAAAAAACTAAACACTTCTCATTTTAGAATTCTTAGTAAAGATTACATTAAAATCATAGTATTTACTAATACTATATTAGTTACATTTTAGTTTTTTTCTATTATTATTATTATTTTGGTACTGGTAATTGAACCCCAGTGCTTAACCACTGAGCCACATCCCCAGCCCTTTTCATTTTTTATTTTGAGACAGGGTCTCACTAAGTTTTTATAGAGTTTCCCTAAGTTGTTGAGGCTGGCTTTGAACTCATGATCTTCCTTCCTCAGCCTCCTGAGCCACTGGGAGGAGACCAAGTACTATGAACTGAATTGTGTATCCTCCCTAAAATGGAAGTCCTAACCCCCAGTTCCTGTGACTAACCATATTTTGAAATAGGGTCGTTGCAAAGATCAAGTTAAAGTCATTGTAGTAGGCCTTAATCCTAGATGACCTAGTCCTTATCAGAAGGAGAAATTTGATCTCAGTGACAAGAATGCATAGAGGGAAGACACTGCAAAGATACAGTGAGAGTGTCATCTCTAAGTCAAGGAATGACTGAGGCCACCAAGCCGAGGAAAACTGAAGCTGGGAGTGAGAAGTGGAACAGATTCTCTCTCCCAGTTGTCAGAAGTAACCAACCCTGCCAACATCTAGGAAATGAATACACTCAGGGACAATATTTAAAAGCTTTTATAAATTCACAGAAGTTCAAAAATAATGCACAGGGCTAGGGGTTGTGACTCAGAGGCAGAGCACTTGCCTTGCACATGTGAGGCACTGGGTTCGATCCTCAGCACCACATAAAAATAAATAAAGATATTGTGTTCATGTATAACTAAAAAATAAAAAATAATAATACAGAGAGGCACCATGTATCATCACCCAGTTCCCCTCATGATTGCACCTTATGTAATACAATAGAAAAGCCAGGAAATTTGGTATTCATCCCATGGGAGTTTATGGTCCTGTGCCCTTCTCATCTCTCCTCAAACTGGAAAGTCCTGGATTTAAAATAGAACTGAGGGGATTAACACTCCTTAATCCTTTCTTCATAATAAAAGAAAAAATTTTCATTCAAATGAAATTATATTTTAGTCTACAAAATTAGACATATGGTTTATTATGTGGAAGATGAATAAATAATTCGTCTTAAAATCACCACTTTGAATCCCATGCCCAAAGAAGAAAGGAAGCCGAACAATGTTCAGTGTCCTCTACTCATTATTATATATTATATTATATTGCCTATATATATATATATATATCCAAGAAACATTTTCTTCTATTCATGTACTCTGATTTTTAGTTAAAAAGAAATATACGTACCCAATAGGCATAGTAAAACATTCAAACATTTTTAAAATACATGCAAATGAAAACTGAGCCCTTTTAGTATTCCAGATCTTTACTCAGTGAGAGAAAGAGACCCTTATTAGATGGAGATCCAGATCTGTGAGCATGACCAGCTACACTTGTGTCTTTTGTTACAAGAGCAAAATCTCCAGTGTATGCGTCTACCAGATCAACCAGAACAAAAACATAATCAGTGTAAATGTCACCAAATTCAAAGTGCCTGTGGCTGATATATGGCTAGACTGCTTAACCAACCCCCCAAAATTCTAAACCCCAAAGATCAAATGATTGATGCGAAATTTGATTTTCACAAAAGCTTGCCTGGGAATCTGCACATTTCTTCACAGGAAAATCATATATGGGATTAGAGAGCTCAGCTTTGGGGGTGTCACTCATTTTCTCTGAAGGTTAAGGGACTTTCACACCCTGCCTTTGGGTATACCTTTATTTTACTCCTTTAATAACTTCTTGCTTTTGTCTTGCTTTCAATGTGGCTTGAAATTCTTTTTAGTGGGAGAAGTCAAGAACCTGTGTAGGCAAACTTGAGGGCCAACTGCCTTCTTGAAGGTACCTCCTTGGATCCCTGTCTGATGACAAACCCACCTACCCTATGCCAATAAGTAAACTTAAGTGACATTTTGTGGACATAAATATTGGTGGTCTCTACCCTCAAAATGCTTTGAGTGTTCTAAGAGGGCTAGACACCAGAACATTTGGTTTTGAAAGAGAAGTCCCAGGGTATTCCCCTGTAACAGAGGACAGAAGCATGTGTTAATTTAATAAAAGCCAGGTTCATAGAGGTTAGGTAAACTGATGGAAGCTACAGTTGTAAATTACAAAGACAGTATTCCCCAACAAATGTGTTTGAATCAAAGTCCACATTCTTTATGGGAACTGCTTCAGTTTGATAATAATCAGTGCTGTTTCCACTTTCAGTTTCACTTTATGTGATGTTTAGGAGAGAACTTTAATGAAAAGAGGGAATTTCCCACCTACAAAAATATTGTGCTTGCAAAGATTTTTTTATTAGAGAAATTTCTTGGGAAATTCCATTTTCCTTTGAGATTTAATTGTTAAGTTTCTAAGAATGTGGAAAAACGTGTAACTAGTAGCTCGGTGTACATGTAAACATTTCAGCCCTGGAATGTAGCAGAATATTTTGCTTTTTAAATTTTTCTTTTTCAGAAGTCATAATCATTTGTTACTTCCAGGCTGTAAGCAAAATATACTAAGGTATATTAACTTTTTAGGCAACACACATACTTATTTTTGCTTTAGGAAGTTACTTGGTGAAGGTGGTTATAAAAGGTTAACACCCATTTAAGCATCCTGTTTTGGGCAGGCAGACATAGCTGTGGAAAAAGGCAGAACTTTCTCACTGCAGTAGCCTGTATAGTTTAGTTCATAACAGGATAGGCTGGTGCAATTTTCTGAAAGTGGAAACTGTGACTGAATCAGCAATTCAACGTCAGCAGCTGAACAGATTGCTAAGGAAAACGCTAAGGATTATTGAGAAATCAGAAGCAATCCAGAAGCTTCTGTGACCCAATTTTCA